GGAGACGTGGGTGATCAGAGCGGTAACGATCAGGAAAGAGCTGGTAACTAGACGGTGTGGTAGCGCTTACTCAATTTTGCCCCATTTATCAAGACCTTTAAAATGATAGGCTGCAAAGGATGAATTCTATCGGGTGGAAATTAGACTCCAGTAAATCGCTCCTAAAGTAAGCACAGGGAAAATGCTATACACATTAGGACTTCAGCCTCCAGATTGATGCTGAATTCTTGTTCCGCCTGAAAGAAAGAGCTTGTTGTTAGGTGCCATCGGGTCGGTTCCGACCCGCAGCGACCCTCTGCCCAGGAGAAGGAAACACAGCCTGGTGCCGTACCATCCGCACAATGGCTCCTGTGCCCGAGCCCTTGGCTTCAGCCAGGTGTCACTGCACCTTCTTGAGGGCCTTCCCCTCCTTCGCTGCCCCTCTCCTTCTCCAGGGACCGGTCTACCCTGACAGCATGTCCCAAATAGGTGAGACAAAGTCTCGCCGAGGTCTGCTTTATATGAGAAAGACATGGCCCAAATTACAGCCAGGCAAGGCAACCTTGCACAGCGCGCCTGGTGCCCCATCAAAAGATGTGGAATGAACTTCTAGCTGTCACGTTTTAGATGAAAATAAAACTTTCAAACAATGTATGTACCATTTTTTTATGACTCCTTCTTTTAATTGACTTGAAGAAATAAAATTAGCCACCAACCCACCAGCCCTGGTTACGCCTGATCAGAGGGATGATAGGCTACTTATCCCTATATCCCAAATGGCCCTCCACTCCTGTGTCTGCCGTAGTCTCAAAAATAAGTAAACACATGCCTGTGCGTGGGTCAGCACACGCCAACTTTATTGGAGTGTAATTCACATATCCTAAAATCCACTCGTTTTAAGCGTGTCATTCAAGGGTTTTTAGTGAATGTGCGGAGTTGGTCAACTAGAATCTCCTCCCTCAGAGGGCCAAGCCATCGGCTGCCTCTTCATAGTCAGACCTGGTGGAGCGCTCCTTCCTAACGGGGGCCTTATCTACAGCGACGGCTGGCCCTGCGGTGAAACCAGTGGCGGCCGGCTCTGAGTGAGGGTTTTCTCCAGGAGGAAACTGCAGGAGCTGTAGGTAGGCTTGGGGGCATTGACTTTATCTAGCCAACCCTCCTGGTTCATAGTTTTGATCCACATAGACTGCAGGTTATTGCTACTTTCTCTGACTACGATCGATCCCACCCTGCTCGCTTTACATCCAGTGCCAGACCCAAGGCTGGACCCTGATGAGGCTCACGTGGGCGATGGAAGCAAGCCATGTACTTCCTCAGGGAACTTTTATTTCTAATGGTCGAAGTATGTATAATGCAACATTTGCCAATGTAAGATCTTTCGCATGTAAAATTTAAGATATTCACACATATGTATATATAGCAACATGAATATATGTAGAGATACACATGAATATATGTAGAGATACACATGTATATATATGTATCTATGTGTGTGTATATATGTATGTGTATGTATGTATATATGAAATGTCAAATATTTTAAAATGTAGAAAGATTGCTCCAAGAACAAGGCTGTGAATGGGTTCATGTCAGTTTGACACACACACACACACACACACACACACACACACACACACACACCCGCAGTACATCTGGAGGCAGAATCTGCAGTTTAACATGCTCCCTATGTGGTTCTTATGTATCCTCAGGAATCACCTGAGGATCTTGTTAAAGTGTGGACTTTACACTCCGCAGTGGGGTGAACTGGAGGAAAGGGGTTTGAAGCCCGGGGAAGAGCCCCAGGCTCAGCTCTAACACCTGACAAGGGACTCCTGTTTGTTCTCTAGCCCCACCTTCGCAGGATTATGCTGAAACCAGGCCCGTGTGATGCTTTAGCCAGACCTACATGTCCCGACATCCTGCTCTAAATGTATGTCCATATATTTTAGGGTCATTACCAATTGGTCTGCTAATCTCCCCTGCAGTGGCCAGGAACCCTGAAGATGGGCAGTTGTCTAATTTTTGTTAATAATAAAGACAATCAAAAGTTGGTGCGACAAGCAGCCTCCTGGTATTCACCCCCTTGTGAAGCCCCCTCTTCTCAAGGGTGGGCCAGGCTTGGAAATATGCTTCTAACACCTATAGCTTGGCACAGGTTGTTACTTAGATGACAAAAGAGACAAAGAGACTGGGCATCACCTGGACACCCCTTGTGCATAATCACTGTGTCCCTGTCGCTCGCTTGCTCTGAGAAAACCCAGTGTCGTGCTGTGAGCTTCTCCGTGGAGAAGCACATGTGTCGGTCCACCGGGGAAGACCTTTGGCCAACAGCCTGGGGGGACACGCCTCTTATCAGCCGCCACGTGCGTGGACCCCGAAGAAGACCCCTCTTCAGTTGGCCTTCAGAGGTAACGGCAGCCCCTGCAGACGGTTTCCTGGGCACTCAAGAGAGACCCTGAGCCCAAGGCGCTCACAGAAACCGTGCAACAGTAAATGTCTATGTGGGTGTAAGCCATCTGCACAGCCACTTTTGAGGCAATTTGTTATGCAGTAAGAGCCAGTTGTCCTCTGTGGGCATGTAAGATAAGCCACGTAGGGATGCTCTCTCTACTACTTTCCGTATTTCATCTCCCCATGCGACTATGAGGAAACTGCTCTGGAAAGAGCAGGGCTCTTACTTGAGCACAACCAGGAGTCAAACACAGGAGCCCGTGTGGCCCGCTCTCCTTCAGCATTCTGAGCATCTGCATGAACTAAAGTGTATTTGCGCTGGTGCCTCCTGGAGTGTGTGTTGGAAGGAGAAGCCGGGGATGGTGGTGGGGCAGGGGGGAATGTGGATGAGGCTCCACTGTAGTCGCTGCTCCTGAGTGAGCTACTCCCATTCCAGATGATGCTAAGGACAGTTGGTAAACACCGGCCTGCTCCACAAAGACAGGAAATTGCCAGACCCTATCCCTGCCAAAACGCCTGGGAGGTCGGCAGGGCCGGGATACGCAAGACTGGGTGTGTCCTGTCTCTCCTGTTCTTCTCCCCTTCCTCCCCCATTACTGAGAATTTATAGCTCCTATAATACCACATGAAAGGGATTCGCGAGGAAACATGTGACACTGTGGGGTGGAGAGTTTGAAATTTGAGGGGGTGGGGCACCAATATCCTCCTCATATCCTGACTACTTATTAGAGTCCGAGGCAATGGAAGCCACTAGCAGGCTGCTTGTGGTATCTGTCACAGAAAGAGAAGTGTGCCAGCCTGCAGAAGGCCTGAAGCCCATAATTGAAATGCAAAGGCCTTGCTCTTCCAGGGCCTGTGGAGACAATAACTTATAGTCCTCACCTCGTTCTCTGTCCTGGGTGGAACATTTTCTAATAAATCTATTCCATTGACTACCACGCTCTTCTTTTCTTTGGTGGGAGCCTTAAATGCCATGTTGGAGGGCTTCTTATAGCCTTCTTTCAAAGACATCAGCACCGGATCTGCGGACGGCAAGGAAGGGTATCACCGACAGTTCAGCGAGCTCATCAGGACCTGGTGTCCTTTGTCCGTGTCATGCTGGACAGGCTGTCAAGGATGGGGGGGGGGG